CGCCCAGCGCCGGCGGCGGGGACCCGGCCCCGCAGAGCCGGCGTGTCAGGGAGGGGCCGGCGCTAGCGGTGGACACTGCCCCCGCCGTGGTACGGACCTCACGACGTGCCCGGAGTTGCCCACGATGAGTGGCGCCGCTGAAATCCGAACCCGCTAGATCAAGACGCAGGCTCAGAAACGTTGAGTAACTTGCAAAGGTCAGACAGCGCATTAGTGAGAAAGCGGTGCTTTGAACCCAGAACTGCCTGGCTCCAGAAGCGCTACAGTGTGCGCGAATCGTTTACAGGTCGCGCCGTGCAGTGCAGCGGGTGGAGGGGGCCACGTGAAGACAGGTGCGCCCTGAACACACACACGGGCCGGCCCCATGTCCCTGTAAGCGGGTAGAAGCCTCGTTTCGTTCTTGCAGTGTCCGCGGGAGGAACATGGTCTCTGGAGTCAGCCTGCCTGGGTTTGGATCCTGGCGCTACCTCTTACCGGCTGTGTGATTTGGGTGCGACTTACTTAACCTCTGTTCTCTGTGCCCCTGTCCCTTTATCCGTAAAACGGGAATGATGGAGAAGAGTGCCCAGCTCAGAGGGAATTGTGAGGAGTATGAAATAGCACATTTAAAATGTTCAGGACAGTGCCAAGGACACAGTAAGCACTCAATAGGCATAATAGTAACTGTAATGAGTTTTCCTCACTTTTCCAACCGTTTCACTCCCTTAGTCCTAAAGTCAGCTTCCGTTGGTATTCGACTTGTACCTGCCTTGCCTGCACGGAAAATCATTTCTCATGTTAATGCTTTCACGGACTTATTTATTTAACACACAAGACAGAGGGCCCATCGTGTTACCAGACACCCCTCTATGTGCTGGGGACATAGCAGTAATTGGGACAGAAAAATCACTGCTCTCTTTCCCTAACCTGCTGCTTTGCCCAGTATCACTCCAGTGCGTTCTCTGCTGCCTGACGAGCCGTTCTTCAAGGGCTGGGAGGAGAAGGGGAAGCGTGGTGGTTAAAGATGCCAGCCTGACGAAGATACTAGTGAAGCCTGAGAAAATACCTTTCAACAGAATTAAAGTCAGACCGTGGAAGGGACTTTCAATCTGGAGTGATCAAACTCCAGGGAAGACAAGTGTGAGGCCACTGTCTTAGTGGACCTGACAATTCCCTCTGCAGACTACCTGCTTGTTTGTTTTCTTTTTGAAGCTAGCATTGATGGAGTGTGCTTAGCACTTGATGTGGATCGCATAATTCATCTTGATAAACCATCTCCTCAGTTTGCACACAAGGAAAAACTGAGGCACAGGAGTTAAGTATTTTGGCCGATAAAATAAAATTAGTAAGTGGCAGAGACAAGATTTAATTAGAATTTTGTCGTACCCAAGCCTGTATACACTCTGAAGTCTGGGAAGAGAAACTGGGCCAGGATGAGGCATGTCCTCCCTCATCCAGCTCCCTAGGCCACAGGACAGAGATGTCAGATGCCCTAGTGAGTACTTTGCTATTGGAATTTCCAGATATTCTTGTGGTTAAAGAACTCTGTAGTCCTGTCCATCTGACTGTAGGTCTCCACAAGGAGGCCCAAAGGTGAGAAGTACACGCTGGAGGTAAGGAAGATTATCGTTATTGTCTGAATCAAGGGGCGCTCTAGACCATTAAGATCGTATGCTCTGTTAAAGTAGGGACTGAGCCCTAAAATTCTCTCTATAATTCCAGCAGTTCAGCTCTCTGCTGGGCATACTACACCACACTTGTGATGTCAGGGAGGCAATTGCTCCCTTACAGAGATGGGGAGAGGTTGATTCTGGGGAGTGAGGTCCGATCAGAACCTGGGCTGATGTGAGGATTTCCCCTCTGAAGAAGGAGCCTCCTAGTCCCAGGCAGGACAGAGGGTATTTCCTAAGCCCCAGCTTCCCTCCTGTGCAGCTCTTCTAGGACACAGGAAAAGCATCTACCATACTCAGCGCAGGATGGGGAAGGGTCGGTCCTGTGGCTTGACGTTCCAGAATTCAGAAAGTACTACTTCTTGCTTCATCCACTATTCTCCACCCACCGAGAATTCGCACTAAAGCCGCATATAAGTTATTCCCCCCACTGACACTCCTGCCCTCCTTTTGTTGGCTAATTCCCTTTGGTGATTGGTTTTGCAGCTTTCTTCCTGTGTTTATTTCATTATACAGGAAAGGGAGAATTCTGAGTGGGCCTGTCTCCCTGTTGCCCACATTCAGTGAGCTCCTTAATCCTTGGCCCTATCTTCCTGGTCCTGTCCCCAGGCTGAGAGCCTGGTTGGAAGAGTACTGCCTGCAGCTAGAGCAACTGAGGGGGCCTAGGATGGCCGCCAGGGCTCCCAGGATGCTTGAGAGCTGCCAACACCAACTACCAGGGAGAGGGCTGTCCCCTCTGTGGTGGTACTGGAGAAGCCGGGAGGCGAAAGCTGGGGGGAGGAAAGAAGGCAGAGATGAGCTCAAGGCCCCCGGAGAATGGAGCCTTTGTGTGGGGTACAAATGAGGGACAAGGGGGTGATTGTGTGGGAGGGCCGGAAGTGCCACACAGACTGGCACCACCAGAGCCAGCACCAGATTCACCCCTCTCCTGCTCCGAGAACTCCCTGAGCCCCAAGGGACCAGTACCAGACCTGGTCAGGGAAAGCGTGCCTGAGGCTGCGAGGGATGGAAAGGTGGAAAGGAGGATGTGCAGCCAGGGGACAGAGAGAGGTACCCCCTGCCATTATTCCAGATCCAGGGAACAGGAGACAGAAGGAAAAAGACAGAAGCAGCTTTTACTGTATTTACATCCAACAAAACTTTGCAAGGAACAATCCTTACTGCTCAGTCAGGGCCCTGGGTGGGTGAAGCATTCCCCATAGTGGAGGAAATGGGAAGGATTAGGACTGGACGGGGCCCCGGTTCTTCCTGAGGGGAGCGTGGGGCTCCTCCAGCTCCCTCCTGACTTTCCAGGAGCTACAAACCACTGAACCATGGTGCCCCATTTCCCTTCTCTTTCTCATCATCCCTAGGAACCTCATGAGCAAGGGGGCTGTGGCTCCAAAATAAATAACTTAAAATACAAACGCTAAAGTAGAAAGATATGATGGAGGGCTTTGGGTTGCTTCAGCAGTTCCAGGGAAGAAGGACCATCACTGGCGGGGAATGATATCCCTCCCTCCCATTCAGGGCAAAGGCTCAGTAGCTCTGTATCTTTCCAGTTGTTTTTTAAAACAAAAACTTAGAAAATGACCAGGGCAGAGCAGATCTGTGGGTACCCTGGAGGAGAGTTCCTGGTATAATCTGGGGAGGAACAGAGCTGTGCCAACTCCTGCCAGGCCTCGTACAACATCAGCGTGAACATACCGGGCAGGTCGGAGGTAGGGGGATTGTGACTTTTGTTAGCAGTGGGTCCCTCTTGCTGCCCACATCTGGAGCCTACGGCTGGGCCTGCTTCCCAGCCTGTTCCCAACTCCTCTATGAAAGGAGTAGGAAGGCAGGGTAGCTCTAGAATCCACTCTCCCTCAACCTCCCCACCCCAGGCTGGAGAGGAAAGCTTAAGGGTCCCTAGCATTCCAGAGGTGCTCCAAAACATTTCCGGCAATCAATGGCCTTTGGGGTGGGCATCTGTGCCCGTCGCTGCCTCAGCTCCTCCTTGCCCATGCTGCTGGCCAGCTTGTTAAAGGCGGACTTGTATTTCTTGTCGAAGGCCACTAGGGAAGAGGGTGGAGGTATGTCAACAGACTACAATTCGACAAACCCCCCCCCTCCCCGCTGACCCCTGGCCCCAGATACTTCCACTCCTTGGCCCCTGCCCACTCCCTTACCTATGTCCACACGGTCCTTGCCTAGAGCAGCCATCGTCAGGAATAGGATCTCACGATAGATGCCCCTGCAGTGGGGGCAGAGGGTGGACTGAGAGAAAGGGAGTATGGGGCCGGGGACAGGCCAGGGACCTCCCAGATGGGAGCACCATACCTCTGCAAGTGCAGGCCAGTGGGAGGCGGCCCTAAAGTTTCCAGCAGGAGCCCTACAGCCTTGTGCACCTCACTGAGACCCACATAGCGCAACACGGCCTCCAGCAGCTCCAGGTTGAGGGGTGCGGGTATGGGGCCTGGCCATACCACCCGCTGCGGGATCTGGCCTGGGTGAAAGAGAGGAAGGCGGCCAGGGTCACTGAGCCCTCTGGGCGTGGGACCCACCCCTTCCCAGCCTAGGCCAAACACCAGACTCACTGTGGACCCTCCAGAGCACGTAGAGAGGTGGGCAGCTACTGGGATCGGGGGTCAGAACGTCCCACAGCAGCCGCACCTGCACGGATGCTGGGTCAGGCGTCAGCCAAGGAGGTGGGGCCTGCAAGGAGCCAAGACAAAGGAGGCAGACTCACGGGACGGCAGGCAGAGGGCTGGAAACGGACCAGCGAAGCTCCAAGAAACAGAGGGACGTGGTGGGATATAGCCAGAGGGGAGAGGGAAAGAAAGCCTCATCCCCATGAGTGTGAGCTCTCTGAGAGCACCCACTTTGTTCTGTGAGCTGCTGCACCCCTCGTGCCTAAAAAGTGCCCAGGCCCCGAAAGGTGTCCAATAGATGTTGGTCGAGTAATAGACGTCAAGGAGTCACCGTGGTGATTGTGTACCAAGCCCTACACAGGCGTTTAACAACCCTGGGCGCTGGGCACTTAGGCCGTTTTACAGATGAGAAAAACGGAGGCTCGGGCGTGAAGTGAAAAGGCCAGGGGTCGGAGCAGGTGCAACTGACTCCCAGGCCTGTGCTCGCTCTACTCTACGGGGCCTGAGGGGACAGACCCAGAGGTGAGGT